GCCAACTCCAGCATCTGCTTCTCTGGAGAGTCAGGAAGGACCTGCCAACTCCAGCATTTGCTTCTCTGGAGAGTCAGGAAGGACCTGTCAGCTCCAGCATCTGCTTCTCTGGAGAGTCAGGAAGGACCTGCCAACTCCAGCATCTGCTTCTCTGGAGAGTCAGGAAGGACCTGTCAGCTCCAGCATCTGCTTCTCTGGAGAGTCAGGAAGGACCTGTCAGCTCCAGCATCTGCTTCTCTGGAGAGTCAGGAAGGACCTGTCAGCTCCAGCATCTGCTGCCTTTCAAACTCTGGTTGGATTCTGGCTGCGGCAGCTTACACATGGTTCTCCAGTTTAAGAGCAAGGATGCCAAAGAGGCCTCACTCAGTGAAAGCACAGTGGCAGGTGGGACGGATTCACTTTTATGTTTACATTCAGAAATTATATTTTATTCTGATTTCATAGCAATGGGCATTATAAGAGGATATGGTATCTGCTGTCTTGTAGGCTTTATGGCCCTCTTCCTGGGCCATGTCTCACATCTGCAAGGGTGCCCTACCTTCTCCAGTAAGTGCATCACTGCACTGAGCTGCTCATCCGTGCTCTCTGTGGCCACTCTCAGGTTGAGGTTGTGCAGGACGCTGTTGACAACATCTTCATGTAGAGGCTGATGCAGCTGATCCGCAAGCTGCCAGATAGCTTGGGAATCCACATCCGAGACAAGAGTGACGTTGGCAGTCCCATACACTGGGTCAATTCTGGCACCACCTTTTGGGTCAAAGAGCACAACCTGGAAGCGTTTTGGAAACACATTGAAAGATGCGCTCTCTGGGGTTAAGACAACATCCAGCGTAGCACTTCTCTGGCCAGGCTCAAAGACCAGTGTGCCTTCTGTTCTCACAAAATCCTTCCCAGAAACAGCCGGAGAGATGAGGACACGCCCGACTGTTTCAGTGCTCCTCAGCTCCTGAAGAGGAAACCACGACAGGAAAATGAGACTATTATTCCTCTAAGGTTATTCTAAACCATTCTTATTTCTTGAACAATTCCGTCTTTTCAGTCAACTAGCCAGCAGTAACTGCACTGCCATGACACATGGCCTTTCTACTTTTAGTAACTGCCCTCAATACGCCAGAGGGATGGCGAGGTTAGGGGACGGGGGCTCTGCTCTGACATTAATCAAGGAGAAGAACTAGAAATGGAATAACACTGCGGTCTAGAAAAGCATCTTCAGTTATGAACACAGAAAATGCTGGAGAACTAAGCATGGGGGTAGGGAAGAAACATTTATATTTTAATCTCACCTAGAAAGTTGTGGGCAGAGAGATCTGACGGCAAAAGTTGGGGCAGGAGAGAATGAATTGTCTCTTTCTTACCCTTCAGTATGGAGATGAGCTATTGCATTGGTTTCCTAAGTAATATACATCTAACTTTTCAAATCATAGTTGTTGCAGAGGTTTTAGAAAGTTCAGGATGAGTACTCTAGCCAGGGAAAAGCCCAAATCCTGTGTCTTTATTTAATACTAGCTAAGGATGAAAGCCCTAGTTTACTTCAGCACATATGTTGGGAAGCAGAATTGATAGGCATAAGACCTACACCCCTAGAACCCATGACTCCGGCAGAGGATACACAGTATGAAACTGTAATTAATGCTATGCTGCTCATGGATTTCTATGAAGGGAAATCAGACAAAGTAGAGACAGAGACACAGGCTGAGGTGATGGGTACAGCTGTAAATCGGGCTGGACATGGACTCAACAGAGGCCTCATTAAAGGACTGCCTACATGCTAACCCCAGGGGACAGATCTCCATCTAAGGAGAAAATCCCAGGCAGTGAGAGCAGCAGTTTAAAAGGCCCTGTGGTGAGAATGGGCCTATGATAGGAAGAACTGGAAGGCCAGTATGAATGGAGGAGGGGAGTGTTGGACACGGGCATGAGGAGTGGATGGTCACAGCATGGGTGCCATTAATTGAAATGTAGCCAGAAAACACAGAATTCAAACAGGAGAGTGGCCCATTTTTTAAGAATTCCACGAATGCCAAGGGAATATGTATGTTAATGTGTAGTAAGGCTAAGCTCCGAGGTAGCAGGAGGAAAGACAAGTCTCTGAGACAGCTCACTCGAGGAAGGGATGAGCAGAAAGAGCAGAAACAGCCAGATTGGAACAGAGGATGGATGCGGTTAATAGGATCTTCTGGTCACTCAGCACACAGTGGGAAGAAGACGAGAACTGAGGATGAATCCAACTGACGGCCTGGAAGGGAAAGTTACTCTATAGATGGCAGGAAAACACGTGCAAGATATTGATGACACACACGAAGTTTGAGTGTTCCCTAGACATTTCACTGATGATGCCAAGTGAGGACAATCTGACACACAAAGGAATGTCACACACACCCCCACACATATGTATTTATAAAATCAGAATGATTAACGCTATTGTGATAATAGTCACAATACTATTTTCTTTTCCTAAGAATCTTGCATAATCACTCACTCCCCTGCCTGCCAGTCCCTCATTGGTCAGTCACTAAAGTCTACGTTTTTATGATGGTGCAACTGTCATATGTGAATGGAATCTGAACTCTATAATTTTGGGGATTTTTTTCACGTGATTAGGAGATTACACTGGCTGACATGTGTCTTGACGGCTTGTTTCTTAACACACTAAGAAGAGGCCCACGGTTTATCTAAACTTTTGCAGACTGATGGACAGTTTTATTATTACTAATAAGCTACCAGAGACATCATGCAGTCTTGATGCTCAGCTCTCTCCAATCCTCTGACCAGTGTGCAGAGACTGGGCCCCTGGAAAGGATATGAATCTACACACACACACACACACACACACACACACACACACACACACACACACACACAAACTGCTGATGTGGATAACGTTGAGGTAAAGTGTTTCTAGCATGTTTGACTAGAGAATACAAAGATTTTTTAACTAAGAGTTTTCTGTCTTGCTCTACTGTCCCTTTGCTGAACCTTGCGCTAGAGAAAGCGTATCTGCATGGTTCTATCTTGGCTCCTTGCACTACAGACAGAATATCTATAGGGGGTTTCCATTGCTTGCACTACAGACAGAATATCTATAGGGGGTTTTCATTGCTTGCACTACAGACAGCATCTCTATAGGGATTTTTATTCTTTGCACTTCAGATAGTATATTCGTGGGGAGAGCACTTCCTGCTCTTTCATTATAGACATTATATCTGTATGGGGAATTTTGCTCTGTGCACTACAGACAGCATATCTAGATATTATTTAATTTTTTTCTTTTTCTATTAGTGAACCCATATGACAAGCTCTTCAGCTCAAAATTTTGAGTACAAGGCAAAAGGGGAAACTGTGGAACTTACCTCTCTATGAACCATTTGGGGCCCAGATTCCTACTCATCTTATTGTTCCCCTGTAGTTTCAGAGTCACCTACTATTGTCTCATACACAATTCCCATGGCCTGTAGTACTGAGCAGGGAAGGGCATATCTGTTCCACCTTAGAGAAACAAAATCTGCATTTATAGAAAAAGCTTCAGAGTCCAGTTTTCACTTCGTGTTAAAACTGTAACACGACATTGGTATCGCAGCACTGAGTCTGTAATCTCAGGGCAGTGTAGACGGTAACCGGACTAGCAGGTGTGTCTGCGTGCATACATATATCCATCTATCAACTCTGCAAGTCTCTCATCTGAGCATGTGAACTTGCTCATAAAAGCGCCTCAAATATCTTCAGTATATGCTCACATGTCTAGTTTCCCTTCTTCTGCTCTATAAACTCATAACCTAAAGGGGAAACACTTCATGGGAGAGGTACAAGCACAGAACACACATTTTCTCATTTTCCTTTCCCTCAGAATCACGCTAAACAAAATACTAAAATCTCAATATGAATGAAATTGCTTCTCTGTCTGCTTGCAGTACTATAAAACTGTGAAAAATGGAGTTTATTCTTAGGGTCTCATGTAGCATGAATAATAAAAACCCAGAGACATATATTGGGGTTCAGTCTAAAGGTCAGAAAAGTAAAGCAGCCAGCCACTGGCTCTCTACCTCAGTCTGAAATGGCGATCCTGCCTCCAGGAATCTCAGAATGAGACTGTGTGCGAGAGCTGACTCCTCCCGTCTTATATTCTGCTCTAGGGCTGGGGTTAAAGATGTGTACCACTGCTGCTTTAGCGTCTATGGCAACTCGTGTGGCTGCGGGGATTAAAGGTGCGTGTCTCCACTGCCTGCTCTGTAAGGCTGACTAGTGAGGCTGTTTTAGTCTCTGACCCTTGGGCAAGCTTTATTTATTAAAATTCAAATGAAATATCACTACAGTCTCACACAGCAGAGAAAGGTCTTCTGTTATCTGGTGTCTCCTCGCAGGTTTCCAGGGCAGCTTCCCGCCCCTGACTCTACAGCTATGTTACTCTATCACACCAGCCACACTGCGCCCCATGAGCCACACTGCACCCCATGAGCCACACTGCACCCCATGAGCCACACTGCACCCCATGAGCCACACTGCACCCCATGAGCCACACTGCACCCCATGAGCCACACTGCGCCCCATGAG